ATAGTTTTTCTTATGATTATGATAAGAAGGGCTCTTAGTAAACATTGCTTTGTTTTTGGTGTGCAAAGCATTTCTAACTTGAAACTCTCTGCTTTAATCAAGCAGCAATGAGCTTTGGGATCAACAGCCTTGATCTAGCTTTCTTGCGTCCTGACCCTGTTTTCAGTTCGAAACAGCTGTTTGATCTTACCAGAAGTGTTCCAATGTTGCTTCAAAGTTCTGGCTGCCTTCTGAACCTCGCAGGGGCTCACTTCAAGTTCAGATTTTTTTTTCTACATGCATGCATGTGTGCAGCAGTGGGCTTCAAAAGTTTCAGCAAAGGGTTCTCTGCCCAGTTGCTGTGTGGGCGTGGCCATGGTGGGTGTGGCTTAGTTGGCCTCCTGCACCACGGCCGGGGGGGGCGTTTTTGCCCTCCCCAGACTCTGGAGGCTCTCTGGAAGCCGGAAATAGGCTCATTTCTGGCATTCCTGAACTTCTGGGAGGCCCATTTTTCACCTCTGCATGCACTCTGCACTTAACCTGCATCCAAAACAGGCCTCCTGGGGAATCTTGGGAGGGGCAGCGTGGGGTGGGCGGGGCCAGCCAGGAGTGGGATTTGAGGCTTTTCCAAACTACACAGAATCTTAGCTAGGGGCTCTCCCGAACCCCCTCCGAACCCTCAACAGCCCACCCCTGTATGTGTGCATAGATATGTACATACATTCCTGCACAGATATTTTCCAGTTCCCTCTCAGAATAAAAGCAATATTATGCAAGGCAAAGTGGGGGGGAAAAGTAATCAATAATTAGCAACTACTAAATGTTAAGGTGTTCCTGAATTAAGGTCAGATGCTGATCCTTTTGAGGTTCTTCCAGTTTATGAAGGAAATAAAATGTCAGCTACATGGATTAATAACATCCTGGAAGCACAACACTCGGGAGAGTTTGTCTCCCAGCAGAAGTTAGGAGTAATAAAATCCCCATTGTCATAAGAATAGTAGAATCCCAGGGTGGGGAGCAGCTGGCACAGTCCATTTCCCCTGCCTTGTGCAGAGATCCAGTTAAAGCATCTCAATCTGGTCGTTATCTAAGTCTCCGAAGACATAATGGAAAGGAACCCATCATTTCTTGTACTGATCTTCTGTTGGGACAATTTTCCAAGCTTTCAACTGGAAAGTGCTTCCCTGGAACTTATTCCATATCTTGAACTCTGGCATGATACTGTTTTGATCTTCTTATTACTTCTTCTTATTACTGTTTTGATCTTCTTATTACTTCTTCTTATTACTGTTTTGATCTTCTTATTACTTCTTCTTATTACTGTTTTGACCATCATACTTCTTTAAAGTATCTATAATTTGCTTTTGGAAAACATGATCTACGTCTTTTTCCATGGCTGGTAGCAGATGCCAACCGTAATGGCATCTGCATTTATCCTTCCCACCATATGTTTTAATTCAGATCATTTCAACCATGCCGTCAACTCTATTCCTCTAAAGTGACCCAAGGCACTGCAAACTGCACCACAAGCACCGAATATAAGCAAGCTTGAAGTTGTGACACACACACATGTAATTGATTCAGAAAGTTCAAACTGATTGGCTAGAGTTCAGAACAAGCCCTTCATTTTCCTGGGCCCCTTCATTTTCCTTCATTTCTGTAGAACAAGAAGAACACTGGAAGAAGAATTGAACATTGGACTCAATCCTGCATAGGTCTGCTTTTTTTCCCCCCATCTCCTTTACATTGGTTCTTCATGGTTTAGCTTAAGGGTGGCTGTTTACATATCAATGACCAGAATATTAAAAAGGATACAGCTTTGCATAGTGAAATGTACATATACACATGCAAATTTGGAAATTGATATAATTCTATTTAATTCATTTCACCAAGGAAGGGGACAACTGTGACTTGCTAACTTTGTATGCACCCTATGCCATCTAACTCCGGTGCTAATTGTGATGGACAACTCTTGTAGTGCTTTGCATTTAATCCAGTAAAAATTTTTTTTAAAAAACCCTCCCAGGAGAAATCAGTACCAACCACTTCCATGCTGCTGTCAAGAATACTACATATCCATGTCCTTTTGTTCAACAGAAGATGAACCTAACTCAGAGAAGTCTTTGGACCCAAATAGAAGATTTTCTTTAGGTAGCCCTACAAAAAAACCATAAAAATCCAGGCCCATTTACAGTGGGAATGGGGTATCCCTGCCCAGAAAAAGGATATAGAGGTTCTGGGATGCTATGTAGCATCCTTAGGGATTTGCCAGGCAGCAATGGTGGGATTCAATTTTTTTTTACTACCGGTTCTGTGGGTGTGGCTTGGTGGACGTGATGTGACTTGGTGGGCGTGGGAGGGGAAGGATACTGTAAAATCTCCATTCCCTCCCCACTCCTGGTGGAAGGTTACTGCAAAATCCCCTTTCCCTCCCCACCCCACTAACCTGCTTTCCAGCTCCATTCTCCTGTGCAGGGCAACAAAAGAAGACCCAGCCAATCAGCTGGGACTCGGGAGGCAGAGAATAGATGAGGGTGGGGCCAGTAAGAGGTGGTATTAGCCGGTTCTCTGAACTACTCAAAATTTCCACTACTGGTTCTCCAGACCTGGTCAGAACCTGCTGGATACCACCTCTGCCAGGCAGGCATCATCCTGATAAATTAAGGCTTTGTGGATATGAATGAGAAAGCCTCTCCTCCAAGAACCATTTGGTATGAAGGAGTCTCTTCCTTCCCTGTATGCATTTTCTTTCCCTCCTTCAATTAATGATTGGCTCCCTTCTCCATCCTATAAACCAGTGGTCCCCAACCACCGGGCCCCGGACCGGTACTGGTCCGTGGATCATTTTTTACCAGGCCGCAAAGAAGTGGGCACCGCCATCTTGTTTCGATGGTGCTTGAGAAAGTGCTTCCGGGTGAGCTTGTCGGTCGTCGGTTGGAAAGTGGCGTTTGGGTGCTGAAGGTATCCTCGCGCCTTAGTTTTGTCGAAGGGGGGGGGGCGGCTTCAAACGAAGAGCTGTCCCGATGGTGGTGGAGTCTCGCGTTACTCAGGAGGAGATTAAAAAAGAGCCCGAAAATCCCATCGACAAAGGTACAAAGGAGGAGTTGAAGGTGGCGGGGAGAAGCGGGGGACGGCTGGCTGGCCGGTCGCTCAGCTCACCTTGCCTTGGGCATGCGTGCTGATGCCGGTACTGGTCTGTGGATCATTTTGTGATGCCAGTACCGGGCCGTGGTACAAAAAGGGTTGGGGACCACTGCTATAAACCTTATAAAACACTTGAGAGTTGGAGCAGATTTATACTTCCTGTTTCTTCCACCTTGAACATCATGCGGTATCCTTTTAGGAGGGCAGGAAGGTATGAAATTGTCCTCAGTCTTCCCCAGCTTGCAGAGAAGGTAACCTCCACCTTCATTTTCTTCTTCCACATCAGAAATAATCCTGCCCACCCTCCCACCTGTCCATTCACCATCTGCTGTTAGAACAGAGCAATCGGATCCATCGTTTTATTCTTGCATACAAATGCTGCCGTTGAGTGGTGTGATGGCCTAGAGGTGGAGCTCTCACCTCACAATCAGGGGGCTGTGAGTTTGATCCTAGGTAGAGGCAGATATATTCTCTCTCTGGGCATGATGAGAATATATCTGCTGAATATAACTCCGCCTTGGCGACCGGAAGGGCATCCAGTCAATCAACCCTTAGCTCCATTCAGTTGCCCAGACTCCACCCCACAAGGGATTATGGGGTCATTATAAAGAGATGATGATACAAATGCTGCCATTCCAATTGACTGGTGTGCACTCTGAAACATGAGTTCCTTCTACTTCCTGCTCCCAGCATCCCTATTCTCTGATGATCAGTTCATACAGGACTGGGCTACACATGTTCGATTGTTTTATTAAAACTGTGTTTTTTCAAGTCCACAATAGATGGCCCTGAAAATACCTCTAATTAGAAAAGGGTTTCCTAATTCTTTGTTGGCTTATGTGGCTTCACCAATTGACTTCACCCAGTACTCCTGTGTGCCTGAATTAGCTTTGGCCAAGTTTTGCCTGCTCCCTAGGTCTTTCATCATACCCAGTCATGTTGGTCATGCCCAGAAACATCTGTATTTTGGATTTAACAGATACCGTTTCCTAGGGTAGGCTATTTGGATATGCTGCCGGTGAACATCTGCACCGATCAGTTTCATTCAACATTCATACATGCGGGGTAGGCAATCTAGGCCTTCCAAGTGTTTTGGATTACACCTCTACAAATTCCTTACCATTGGCTATGTTTTCTAAGGCAAAAAGCAGTTGAAATCCAAAACCTCAACTAGAAGTCACTAGGTTGCCTATTTCTGGATGCTGTATTTTTGTAATGATGTGATGGAATTGGCAAGTGGCATTCAATGTGACAGACCACTATATAGCTGCTTGTTTTGGTTTGTTCCAATTAGTTACTTCCATACTGATTGGGGGAATACATTTTCTACCCTCTTAGTTTAGCTCCAGGGTGTGTTTACAACCACATATGCTATGCTCAATTTTTTGAAGACCCATCATTGATGTGGCTTGAAAATATGCTTGAAACTGAACCACATGGGGGAAAAAAAGAAGGGTTTCCGTATTGCCAGAAGGTCATGGAAGCAATTTCAGGGAAAGAAATTAGCCACATCGGGCACACTATATATACATAGGTATGTCCATGATTTGGAAAAAGACACAAAGGAAAAGATGTAATCACCAATAAAAAATAGAAAGTTGTTTAATGCTCATGACCAAATGTAAAAAAAAAAAAAATGCACTCGATGTGACAAGAAGGTTTAAGATTTTCCTGTGAATTCTATCACCTTTGAAATAATTTTGATTTGTGCAATTTATTTTCCATGCTTAGGAGTTAATCTAAAATGAGTGCAGCCATTTTCATCTGGCTAATGGTGGAACGGAGGAAATTAAAGCTCAATAGAAGTGAAATAGCAAGAAAAATGCTGCAGCCTGATTTATTTCTTCAAATTTCTTGTTCTGTTTTGTATTCCTCAGGGACAGCCTGGAACAAGAGGTTTTCCTGGGTTTCCAGTAAGTAGGATCCTTAGAAAATGGTCAAGTTGAAAATATACCATGTAAAATACATTGTTTGTTTGTTTTACTGCAATGTTTTGATCTAAGATCTGACTGATTCAAAAGCAATAAATTGCATCATGTTTTCAAATCAAACCATACATCAAATGACCATAGCATAGCAGTTTAATGCATAAAATAGAATTTGTTATGGATTGCTTTAGTTCAAATCAATTCATTTAACCAGATCCGATATTTGAAACAGATTTGCGGTGATTTGCATCCCCCTATCCAATTTTTATAGTAAAGGTAACTAGCTTGGAATTTCCTTCCACAATAATTCAATAAAATAAATACTATAACCTCAAACCAGCTGCAAAATGCATAAATCATTTGGCTTAATTTCCAGTTCAGTCAGTGTTATGGTTAAGTGTTCAGTGGAATGACATCTTGGAGTTAAAACTCTGTAAATTCCAGTAGGAAAAAATAATATTTGAGAATGTACCTGCCTACCACGCAACACCATTTTATCAGGGAACTGAACAGGCTGTAAATTAACAGCAGCAGGGAAACAAAACTGGGCAAAGAAATATAGGAATACTATAAATAAGGCCCATTTCTTTAACCTCCTTATTGGGTTTTGCTGCATTACAGGAGACAATTGGCCATAATTTATAACAATCCTAAAATAATCTGCCTTTCTTTATGAACTTCTTTGCTGACATGTAATACGATAATATACGGGAGTCCTCGACGTACAAAAGTTTGTTTAGCGACCATTCAAAGTTGCAATGGCATTGAAAAATGTGACTTTTGACCATTTTTCACACAACCGTTGCAGCATCCTATGGTCGTGTGAATAAAATTCGGATGCTTGGCCACTGTAACTTTGATTACAACTGCAGTGGTTCACTTAACAACTGTGACAAGAAAGGTTGTAAAATGGGGCAAAACCCTCATAACAAATGTCTGACTTAGCAACAGAAATGTTGGGCTTAGTTGTGCTTGTGAGTTGAGGGCTACCGGTACTTCATGCCATATCTACCATGAGGTAATGATTCAGTTTCTCCCTAGTTCCCTTTCCCACAATCCTCGTGATATGTACCAACTGCACTGTTAGAATAGTACATGCCTGCATATTTTAAACATTGTCTTTCTTTTTTTTTCTTTCCAGTTTTTGATGTATTTATATCTCTGGTCCTAACATTGCATGATCAAGGCCAGAGGTCTCCAACCTTGGCAACTTTTAAGACTTGTGGACTTCAACTCCCAGAATTCCTCAGACAGCTTTGCTTTGAAGTCTGCAAGTCTTAAAGTTGCCAAGGTTGGAGACCCCTGATCAAGGTGGTAGGTTGTACTGGCAAGACAAAAACATGCTATAAAAAGAAATCCTTGCTATTTAAATCAATTGATCTCTCTCTGTCTTCTCCCTCCTCCTCCCCCCCTTTCCCCCTCTCTTTTTAGGGTCCAATTGGTTTGGATGGCAAACCAGTAAGTGAAGTCATTTTCTGCTGTTCTCATTCTTATCCTTTAGCCTTTGAGTCCCCGCTCTCCCCCATTCCAATAATTCTCCCCCTCACATTTCTGTCCAGAAGGTTGTTTAAAATGTTTATTTCAAAATGATCAGAGAAGAAACTTAGGTGGGTTAATAGACAAAGGGGCAACAGTGAGCAAAATACTGTGAAATTTTCCATAAATTAGATTAGAAAGTAACCTTTTGCAGCAATACTTAAATTATCTTCTCTTCTCTTCCCTCCCCTTTCCTCCCCTCCCTCCCCCTTCCTCTCCCTCTCCCTTTCCTCTCCTCTTCACCTCTCTCTAGCTGATGAATGGACAAATCTAAAATAATTTCTGATTGTAATGTTCAAAAGGTTTATACTGAAACCCACTTCTTTTTTTATCTTGTTTCAGGGACAACCTGGACAGAAAGGGGAAATGGTAATAAGATGCTCAATTAATTTTGCATGCTGCATTCTGCTTATTAAGTTTCAAGTTCATGGAAAAGAACAAATGGCAGGGATGTTTTTGAGGATCCATCTTTATAGGGAATGTAGAGGTAGAAAACTTGAAGCTCTCCAGATGGAACTAAAATATATTTCCCAGCATTCTTGACTTTAGTTGGGATTAGAGCTGAAATTCAGATTTCTAGCCCAGGAATAGCTTTCTCTTTCTTTGGCAGATGAGAAAGACGCAATAGTGATTTGTGCTGAGAAATTTGTAAACCCTATCTTCGTCTTTATTAAACAGCTGTATGCTAGATTCTTAGATTTGTTTAAAACAACCATATACTTAATAAGAGCAATTCTATATGTGCAGAAAGCCGTTTGCTCCTATGGAACAAAGTATGATATTTTTGAATGGGCAAAACTGCTGTTGTGGAATTAAAACTGAAAACTATATTTCGGAAATGAATCCAACAGATTTTGGAAATTCATTTCAAAATTTTAGGGAATGTTAAATGATTTCCCAAACTCTTCTCTGCTGTACTAGCTTTTTCTTGGCCAAGGATGTTTAAAACATAAATGGATTACCATACAGTGGTTGCAGTATTGCAAATGACCATGAGAGGGCAGCACAGACACCAAAACAGCAACTCTCTACTCCCATCTAGTGTTGGTGTAGAATAGATTATATTAATTATAAACAAGGTGTGCCTAACAAAAGACCACATTTGAAAGCATACTCTCACATCTGTAATTTGAAGTTATACCAATATGACCTCTTCCCTCTGCAACTTGATTGTCATCTAATGCTGGTGTATGACATCTATGTGAAAGTGTTGTATTGGTTGTGAAGTGGCACAAAATGTAAGTTTGTTGTATGTGATTTTGGATGGCTTATTTATATTATATTTTTGTGTTGCAACCATGAAACAAGGAGAAATACTTATCTAAATCAGCTCGCAGTATTTGTGCTTTCTTTCTTCTTTCTTTTCTTTTTTTATAAATTTTATTTGGGTTTTCACAAAAAAAAACCATATACAAATAAAACATCTTTTTTTGAAAATAGCATGGTCCCAGGTTATCACTTCTTCATACAGACACAAACTCCATTTCATGCTAATCTTTATGTTCTATTCCATATCTTATTACTGTTTTACATTTTCTACATAATTTTTCCCCTCCTTTGATTTTCTCAAGTTAATTTTTAATTACCGTATATACTCGAGTATAAGTCGACCCGAATATAAGCCGAGGCACCTAATTTTACACAAAAAACCTGGGAAAACTTATTGACTCGAGTATAAGCCGAGGGTGGGAAATGCAGCAGCTACTGGTAAATTTCCAAAATAAAAATAATTAATTTGGGAAACGATCTCACTATCTCACGTCACCTCGGGAAGGGAAAGGCAAAGCGCCTTTTGCCTTTCCCTTCCCGGCTGGGGCTGTTGGGAGTCGCTGCTGCCTGCCTTTCCCTTCCCGGCTGGGGCTGTTGGGAGTCGCCGCCGCCTGCCTTTCCCTTCCCGGCTGGGGCCGTT